GGTTTGTTCTTAAGTTGAATTTGTCTGTAAATTGTAATAGGTACATTTACCCATTATCTGTAATAGCCTCCATTTGTGAGTGAGTCATACATCAGTTGGGGACAGCCTGTATGTCAAAGGAATTAATATAGTGGGGTCACAAAATACAAGGCCAATACATGAAAACTCATTGTATTTCTATACTACAAATAGTAAACATTGGAAAAGGAAATTTTTTTTAAAAGTTATAAGTATACTAAGAAGCCTAAAAACCTTAGTTAGCAATAAACTTTATAAAAGATGTACAAGAGCTCTATGCTGAAAACTATAAAAACATTACTGGAATAACTTAAAGGACATAAAAATAAATGGAGATATTTTCATTATTGGGAAGACTCACTAATATTAAAAATGCATATTCTACCACAATTAATCTGTGGATTCAACACAGCCCCAATCAAAATCCCAGCAGGCATTTTTGTAGAAGTTGATCAATTTTTTCTAAAATATATGTGGAGAAGTAAAGATCTCTTAACAGACAAAAAAAATCTTAAAAGAGAGCAGAATTGGGAGACATATTACTTTCAAGACTAAAGGGGAAAAATGAAAATAGATTACTTGCTAACTGGGTAAGGAAACCCAAACAAAACCTTTACAGTGGAAAAATCTGATCACTATCTGTGATGGTTAATTTTGCATGTCAAATTGGCTGTGCCACAGGCCCAAATATTTGATCAAACATTATTTTGGACCTTTCTGTTAAGGTGTTCTTTAGGTAAGATTAATATTTAAATAAGTAGACTTTGGGTAAAGCAAATTATACCCTACATAATGTGGATGGGCTTTATCCAATTAGTTGAAGGCCTTAAGAGAACAAAGACTGACCTCTTCTGAGCAAACAGGAATTTTGCCCGGAGGTTGCCTTTGAACTTGAATTGTATGTCTTCTATGAGTCTCCAAAGTGCTGAACCGCCCTGCAGATGTTGGACTTACCGAGCCTCTGGAAGAATGTGAGCCAGCTCTTTAAATAAACCTATCTATCTATTATATCGAATACACATCCTATTTATTGTCTTTTCCCTGAAGAACTCTAATGATTAATATGCTCTCTTGACCAAGTAATCAAATTTAGCATCAAAATGTAAAAGACAAGCTAACATTACACAGCATAAATTTTGAGGGATTCTTGCCCAAAGTATTAAACCTGATCCAATCAAATATTTTTACCTGATTTTTAGTTTTGTAAAAGTGTAAGAGTTAAGAGAAACAGATTATATCTCAATCAGACAAATCCAGAGTGTAAGAACTTTCTATAAAATAGCTGGCCTGGCACTATACT